ACTTGTATTAAAGTTTTTCTTCATTACCCATTTAAGCCGTCTCCAGCCATTATTATATTCGAGGAATATTAGGAACAAATATATAAGCAGACATACAGATGGGAAATGAATAGCTTATAATTTGTTATTATCAAAGAAAAACGTTATAACTTACCAAGCATGAGGAACGGGGCCGCAAAGTTGATGCCAATGAAAAGAAAGCCACAATAGATGATTAAGCCGAAAGCGGCAGCCACTGCGATAACAGACGATATACACCCTAGGATCCCAAGCCAAGGTTTACTTCTCACCCAGTCGGACATCATACACGTCACGACGGAGAAACTCAACATCACGATCATGGTTATACTAAAAAATGGGGTCACAGCTTGCGTGTTCTTTTCTAATTCCGACTCCAAGGAGTCGGAGACAAAATATCCAATGTTAACGTATTCCAGTTCCATATTCTCCATGACCACCAGAAACTTTCTCTCCCAGAGTCCCGCTCTTTCATCGCCGTGTCTCACGTCTATGTCCAGCGGATAAAAGAGACTGTAGGCTAAAGCTTTTTCAACGTGGCCCGATTCGTCTACCGTGACTCCTCCGAGAGACGCCAGCATGTTGTACCTTTTTAGAATGACTCGATTAAACATGATAGGATACTTCAATAGGTAGGTCCGATTTTCGATGTCTTTAATTCTTTCTTTAAAATCCAACATGTCGTTGCTATAACAGGATCGTCCAACTTTAGCACACAGATCTTTATATTGATAGATATTTCCATCCCAAGTGATGGTGATATTTTGAATGATGGCATCCATATATAGCAGCTGATTGTAAATATGCTCGCGTAAAACCGTTCCGCCATCCTTGGTGTCGAGAACAACTCGGGCAAGTCGGCCCATACGAGTCGCTCTACCAAAATCAAAACTTTCAGTTGTGTTCATGGGGAACAGGGATTCAATGATCCTTCTTTCGGTGCGAGACCGTCCGTCCACGGGGCTGAATAGGTATTCCGGGTCGTCTTCGTACACCACTCTTTGAAAGCCTGTGGCTAAAATAAAAGACACTAACAGAGGAACGATCACGAAATAGCCCGGACGGAGCCCGACGTGATAGCCCAGCCGACCGAACAACCACGACACCAGGCGGTCCACACAGTCAAACTTCATTGTAAGTGATTCTGCTGGGACTAGATGATAAAAACGTTCTCTGCGTACCTAGTCAGAATTATAAATAATCTTCGCCGAGTTCGAAGTAACTTCACCAATAAAATTAAAAAAAAACACCTATACCGAATTTGGCAGAAAAACGCCCAATAGTGGAGGCGAATCAAGTAAATGTCTTATTTATTAATCAAAATTCACTTTAGGCGTAGCACTAAAATATTAACTAGAATTACTGCTGTTTTAATACTTATCTAAAAAGTCAGTCACGCTAACCGTAAAGTTGCAGGTGTTCCAATATGGCTGGTTACTCCCTCCACTGGTCGTGCTTAGCTTTTAAAATAAAGAAAACAAACTTATTTAATTAACACTTTGGTCGTTCTTTCCCTTCGAAGTTCGAGCTTGTTTCCCGTTACTACAAGTCAATAAGTTCGCAAACACAAATATGAATGTTGATCGAATATTACGCCAGTTGGTGGGACTGTTCCCTGCACGTTACCACCTAGCGACGAGTACGATAAAACTGGCTGCCGCGATCGAGCGGGACGAAAAAGACTTGCCTCGTTCCTTTCTAGGCGCTAGCTCACTGCCTTGAGCAGTTTTTGTCATTATTTCGTGACGCACTGGATTATATAACTCGCCCTCTCGTGAGAGTTCCAGGAACTGACAGGATTCTTTATTAAAAGAACAAATGATTCAATAAAGAAAAGAAATGAAAAAACAGAAACATTAATTGTTTTTAAATTACAGAGTATCAGAGAAAAAAACAAAACATCTGAACAATAATTAATATTATTTTTTTTAAATTACACCTATTTTTGGAAAACGCAATTATTCCCAAGATTATGCAGCAAAATACCGAACACATAAACACGTGTTTTATTGTTAAATAACGTACCGTGCTTATTTAACAATAGGTAAACACGTGTTTTATTGTTAAATAACGTACCGTGCTTACTTAACAATAGGTAAACACGTGTGTTATTGTTAAATAACGTACCGTGCTTACTTAACAATAGGTAAACACGTGTGTTATTGTTAAATAACGTACCGTGCTTACTTAACAATAGGTAAACACGTGTTTTATTGTTAAATAACGTACCGTGCTTACTTAACAATAGGTAAACACGTGTTTTTATTGTTAAATAACGTACCGTGCTTTCTTAACAATAGGTAAACACGTGTGTTATTGTTAAATAACGTACCGTGCTTTCTTAACAATAGGTAAACACGTGTTTTATTGTTAAATAACGTACCGTGCTTACTTAACAATAGGTAAACACGTGTGTTATTGTTAAATAACCTACCGCGGTAGACACAGCAGACAGCCCAAACAAATCGTAAAAATAGCACCAACTTTCAGCAGAAGTGGAACTGTGAAGACTTTATCTTGACGTTGTAGAGTATCGTCGCTGTAAGAATATATACAGAAGTAATTCAGACTTTATCCTGACGTTGTAGAGTATCGTCGCTGTAAAAATGTGTACAGAAGTAATCCAGACTTTATCTTGACGTTGTAGAGTATCGTCGCTGTAAAAATATGTACAGAAGTAATAC